CAATGCAGCATTCTATCTCTCCCCTGTTCCTACTTTCACTGCCAGTGGACCGTGGTTTTCACCTGATGCTGTTGGTGTGTCTCGCCTGACGGGCGTGTTGAGGAGGATGGCAGAGTCATGTGGACTTCAGTGCAAGAAAATTCCATAACTAAGATCATGATTGTTATTGACAGGGATTTACAGGACGCGAATTCGTGCGTCCTATACTCATAAAAATTTACAATGGACGCAACAGAATTTATTAGTGCATCCACATGGAGAAAAGTCAAAATACGTTTGTGTCATTTGCAATTTAATTACTGTAACAATGTGTTGATCATGATACACAATACAATAACAGTATTAATAATAATATTTCAGGGGTGGAAATAACTTTAAAATTGCTAGTGTACTCCGGTACAGTGGCACATGTAAAATCACTTGCCCTGATAATTTTTCCACTATACCAGCTGTTTTCTTGTTGATTTTTTACATAAAGAACATAATTAACATTGGAAAGTCAACTGGACACCGGTACAGTGTGATATACAAATTTGCTTGCCGGACAGAAAAAAACACTGGACTCGGCTGTCGGGCAATGGGTTATTTCCAACCCTGTATTTAAGTGTCTGGGACCCCCATTTTGTTGTCCAGGACCTTTGAAAATTATAAGCATGAGTCCCAGGGACTCTCAAATACAGGACTCAAGGTAAATCCCTGTATTGATGACCTAGCAGTGTTAATAGTGCTGTTGTGAGACAGGGTATTGTGTGAAGTATTAAAGATGAAACATACTGACAGTAATAAAATAAATGAACATAAGTGGGAAATGCAAATTTAGGACTACTGCTGCTTTTCAAAGTTGCTCCATTTTCATTAAACTGAATTTCATACAGAGTATTCTGAATATGACCTGTTAGTATATAAAATGTGTCACTACATAGACCAGATTACTTCATTGTTTTGGGACTCATGTGTCTTCTCATGCTATTGCAGCTGGTGTTATTCCTCTACTAATTTTCATCAGTATTTGTTTGTATCTGGAACTAGTTCAGTGAACAGGTAGACAATCAAACTTGTTTTGATTTATTGAAGTGATCAGGGCCCTGTTGTCAGTGACTGATGATTTCATCGTTATCTCTGTCATAAGTTTTTGTTAAAGTCTGGTAGTTACTGCTGTTTCAGCACTACAGCTATTGAAGTCTATGTTATTAAAGTCTGGTAGTTACTGCTGTTTCAGCACTACAGCTATTGAAGTCTGGTTAAAGTCTGGTAGTTACTGCTGTTTCAGCACTACAGCTATTGAAGTCTATGTTAAAGTCTGGTAGTTACTGCTGTTTCAGCACTACAGCTATTGAAGTCTGTGTTAAAGTCTGGTAGTTACTGCTGTTTCAGCACTACAGCTATTGAAGTCTATGTTAAAGTCTGGTAGTTACTGCTGTTTCAGCACTACAGCTATTGAAGTCTATGTTAAAGTCTGGTAGTTACTGCTGTTTCAGCACTACAGCTATTGAAGTCTGTGTTAAAGTCTGGTAGTTACTGCTGTTTCAGCACTACAGCTATTGAAGTCTATGTTAAAGTCTGGTAGTTACTGCTGTTTCAGTCTGTTAAAGTAGTTACTGCTGTTTCCAGCAACACAAGTCTGGTAGTTAAAGTCTGCTGTTTCTGTTTGTTAAAGTCAGCACTACAGCTATTGAAGTCTATGTTTTACTGCTGTTTCAACAGCTCTTGAAGTCTAGTTACTGCTGCACTACAGCTATTGAAGTTATGTTAAAGTCTGGTAGTTACTGCTGTTTCAGCACTACAGCTATTGATTGAAGTCTGGTAGTTACTGCTGTTAAAGTCTGGTAGTGGTACTGCTGTTTCTATGTTAAAGTCTGGTAGTTACTGCTGTTTCAGCACTACAGCTATTGAAGTCTATGTTAAAGTCTGGTAGTTACTGCTGTTTCAGCACTACAGCTATTGAAGTCTATGTTAAAGTCTGGTAGTTACTGCTGTTTCAGCTATTGAAGTCTATGTTAAAGTCTGGTAGTTACTGCTGTTTCAGCACTACAGCTATTGAAGTCTATGTTAAAGTCTGGTAGTTACTGCTGTTTCAGCACTACAGCTATTGAAGTCTATGTTAAAGTCTGGTAGTTACTGCTGTTTCAGCACTACAGCTATTGAAGTCTATGTTAAAGTCTGGTAGTTACTGCTGTTTCAGCACTACAGCTATTGAAGTCTATGTTAAAGTCTGGTAGTTACTGCTGTTTCAGCACTACAGCTATTGAAGTCTATGTTAAAGTCTGGTAGTTACTGCTGTTTCAGCACTCAGCTATTGAAGTCTATGTTAAAGCTGGTAGTTCAGCACTACAGCTATTGAAGTCTATGTTAAAGTCTGGTAGTTACTGTGTAAGTCTATGTTAAAGTCTGGTAGCTGTTTCAGCACTACAGCTATTGAAGTCTATGTTAAAGTCTGGTAGTTACTGCTGTTTCAGCACTACAGCTATTGAAGTCTATGTTAAAGTCTGGTAGTTACTGCTGTTTCAGCACTGCTGTTTCACACAGTCTATGTTAAAGTCTGGTAGTTACTGCTGTTTCCAGCACTGTTAGCTAAAAGTCTGTCTGGTAGTTACTACTGTCTGGTAGTTACTGCTGTTTCAGCAGCTATTGAAGTCTATGTTAAAGTCTGGTAGTTACTGCTGTTTCAGCTATTGAAGTCTATGTTAAAGTCTGGTAGTTACTGCTGTTTCAGCACTACAGCTATTGAAGTCTATGTTAAAGTCTGGTGTTAAATGTTAAAGTCTGGTAGTTACTGCTGTTTCAGCACTACAGCTATTGAAGTCTATGTTAAAGTCTGGTAGTTACTGCTGTTTCAGCACTACAGCTATTGAAGTCTGTGTTAAAGTCTGGTAGTTACTGCTGTTTCAGCACTACAGCTATTGAAGTCAGCTTCACTCAGATGACTTTTGCAAGTTATTGTTTATGTAGGGTAGTTTGATCTTGGCACTAAGACTGTTGTAAGATTATGTTAAAGTATGAGAGTAGCACTAATTGTAATGCCATGGCAGTTTAGTAGCAAAGTTTGTCTAACCATTAGAGACCAAATATGTCCTACAATTTGCATCAATTAATGCTGACCCTCATCACTTCCTGCCGCTGAAGCAGTGAAGCAGACTAGATGACCGCAGAATCTCTGGCAGACGTTCCACATCGAGGAAGATATGGGCATTCAGATAGCTTTGTGGTTAAAGTGTTTGCTCGTCACACCGAAGACCTGGGTGTGATTCCCCACATTTTTACAATGTTTGTGTTTACCGGTGGTGCAGGAACTTAGAGCATACAAAACCTGCCATGTATTGAGGATTGGCTGAACTTGTGAAATATCTGTATTTACATGGTCGATGTCAGATGGTTTGTGGTGTCAAAGCATTTGTGTTTGAGTAACTGACATTTGATTGTTTCATCCTTTTGTTTTCATTGTCTTGTCCTGATCCTCATTCACATTTGGATCACATTAGGATCACATTAGGATCACAATTGTGTATAAGACATAGCTGAGTTTGTTCTACTGCATAGCACCAGGAAGCATCTTTCAAAATCAAAACAATGTTAAATGATCAAAAATGATTTCAGCAATTGCTTGTGTTTATAAATGGCTATTAACTGTTCACTGAACCCGTGAAGATCCGGGTTATAATTTGCTTTCGGGAACCCATCCTTGTCATAAGAGACGATTAACAGGATCGGGTGATCAGGCTCGCTGACTTGTTCGACATATGTCATCATATCCCAATTGCGTAGATCGATGCTCATGATGTCAATCACTGGATTGTCTGGTCCAGACTCGACTATTTACAGACTGCCATCATATAGCTGGAAAATTGCTGAGTGCAGCGTTAAGCAACAAAAAACAACAACAGCTGTTTACTGATAAGTATGGATGAGAAGAACAGTTCATCATGGGGGAAGGAAGTGGTGGTCAAAATAAGAAAATAAACACTACACTGCTGGTCTGGTCTTCCAGTTTCATGGTATGAAGATAGTTGTCAGTATCAACATACAGGTCATGAAGCATGTCATTGTATCTCTGTTGTTCTGTGTTTGAGCTTCAATAAAAATATTTTTACCATTGCTGTATTCTATCAGTATCACTTCTCTTGTGGCACACGTTGAAAAAAGTGTTTATCTGGACCTGCTCAGTGGCTGATGTTTAGTTTCATGTCAGTGCAAATGGCAAAACATACTCATGGAAACAAATAAGGGAACACTTTAAAGTACAAATGTTCCTTTATTCTTTTCCAGAATTTCATCCACAGTGAAAAGTTTGTGAAGAAACCTGGAAAAGAATAAAGGAACACTTGTACTTTAAAGTGTTCCCTTATTTGTTTCCATGAGTATATAATTTGTCAGTTTGAAACAGTTTCCCAGTTTTTCAGAATTTATAACAGACATTGAAAGAAAGCAAATTTTGAACAGTATAATTTTTCCCCAACCTGCCTCGATTTTGGTTGCAGATCATAGAAAAATCACTGTCCATTTGTCTGCAAGAGAGTGTGTGTGTGTGCGTGCGTGTGTGTGTGATGAGCATGTGAAATACTGTTTAAGCAACGTTAAACCAGCTTCACTCCCTAACCATACCGAGATTCAGCTCTACTTGTGATTTAACACATAAAATCTTCGTACCTATAATAATATAATGTCAATGCAATGATTTCGTATGTCACTGGGATTTTTGTTATGCTGGAGAGTGTAATTTGTCCTCTGGGTTTTTAAAATATAAATTCATAGGACAAGCTAGATATTCAGAAGAAAATGTTTTGTTGTTCCTTCAGTGGAAAGCTTTGAAGCACTGTAACAGTCCTTACTAATACTCTGGTATTTTCCACTTTGTTAATGTGGGCATTTGTAAATTCTATCTTGCTGAATACTGGTATATACATGTGTATGTACCATATCCAGTAATCTTTCAGTTTTTAGCTTGTTGCTATTTAGAGTATGCAGTGATCTTTCTGTTCTTACCTTGTGTTTCTCTCTTTCAGATAACTGCTAGTGGGTGCTCAGATAATCAAAATGGACAAGCAGTATTCTGTGCAGTTTTTTGCCACCTTTGTTGACAATCTTCAAGAACTGTGTAAATCTTTCCTGGACTTTAATCAGTTGGTGGAAGTCAGTGGCTATGTGTGTGTTGAAATTGACAACACCAAGAAGGAACGCTATGTGCTCAGTGAGCTTGTTCAGAGCTGTGGTAATGTTATCAGTGAGAGCTACTGCACCAAGGCCTTCCGTACTCCTGGGAAACCTATGAGCCAGAATATTGGCCGTCAGCAGAGACTGAATCCAAGGTCAAAGGAGAATCTGAACGGGCGATGTCGTCCTGGACAGCCACCAAGACAAGAGAGGAGACCACCTCCACCAGGCCCTCAGAACCCGAGGATGCACCAAAAGGCAGTCGTGGAATCTCAAATGAGACCAAGAGGGAGGAACTTTGGTCTCAAAGTTTCTAATGTGTCATCACTGGTGTTTCAGGAAAAGGACAATGGAGGCCTCCCGTCTCACAGTGTCGGTTCCAGGATGCCGGGACAGAGGCGAGGTTTTGCTCATCAGCAAGATCGAGAAATGGTGCCTGTCAAATCCGAGAAGCAAGACTTCTATCCTGAAGAAGGTGGCCAGTCTCATTTCTATCACCCTGAAGCCAGGCACAAGACCAGGGTCTTGCATGAGGAATGGGAAGGCAGTGATACCTATGTGTATCGGAACGTGTCAATTGAGAGAGTGACCAATGTTCCTCAGAGGCCAGGTGCTGCAAGGATCACTCAGTTTGCAGATGATGAGGAGCAGAGTCCAGGATCTGAGTCAGACTCAGAGGATGTTCCTCCCCAGCAGCAGGGTCGCCCACAAGGCAACTGGAACCGGACATCCAATGCAGAGGCCATGGACCAGATGATGGACCAAGACCAGGAGTGGTCCGGGCACCAGCCTCAGCAAGAACAAGAAACCAGTCAGCCTCCAATCTTAGAGGACTTTGAAATCAAGCCTGATCTGAGCCTCGTCAAGCAGGAGGTTGAGGATCCTGAGTATGAAGCTTCAGAAATGAAGCCAGAAGATTTCCCCATGCCCGAGGAAGAGTTTTATGCCAGGGAGCAGATGGCTTTTGCTGCCAGAGGGATGCAATCACCAAAACAAGCTCCGGTCCGACTAGGAATGAAGCCTCCTGCTGCAACTGTTGTGGCAAAACACAGTCCAAGACCCACTGTTCCAGTGCAGAATGTGCAAGGTGCAACTGTGCTCTCAGGCCCGTCCACCTCTCAGATCTCAATGAGGTCCCCTGATGTTGGATTTGCCCGACCTCAGGAGGTTGCTAGTGTTCCACAGCAGGTGATTGACAAGTCTCTGCTGATGATTGATGAAGAAACAGATGAGTTTGTTGAGGTTGACATGGAGGAGTTTCTGGAAGATGAGGAGCTGGCTGAGCTAAGCCAGGAGATGATGGAAGACTCTCAGCCTGGAGGATCCAAAGGGGAATCTGATGACAAGGAAATCAAGAAATACAAATCCTCCTTGAAGAACCAGCGTCATGCTTTGAAATTGTTTAATGATTACCAGAAGAAGAGGGGAGAGGGAATGAAGCCAATTCAGACAATCCACCCTGAAAGACTTGATAACCTACTCTCAGACTTCTTCTTGACCCTTAGAAAAAACAATGGCCAAGAGTTTGGACCGTTATATTTGAAGAAAATTCATTGCCATTTAGATCGGTATCTCCAAGATGCCAATTACCCCTTCTCAATCACCAAAGACGACCAGTTCAAACACTCAAATCAGATCCTCAGGGACAAGATTGGTGAGCTGAAGGCAAGATCTAAGGGTGGTCCTGTGGTGCAGACTCCAATTACCGAGGACGATGTCACGATCATGTTTGAAGCAGGTGAGCTTGGTGGTTGTAATCCAGACACCCTGCTCAACACCATGTGGTTTGTGAACAACTATTTCTTTAGCATCAAACAGCCAGCTGACCACTTCAATCTCACATGGGGCGATTTCCATTTGACAAAAGATGAAGATGGACATGAATATTTAGAATGCCCTGCAGGCAAATTCAAGGGGGGTAAGATTTACGCTGACAAGGAAGATCCCGAGAGGTGTTATGTTAGGTTGTACAAGCTCTATCGGGACAAGCGTCCACCCCACACTGTTGAAGACGACGCCCCGTTCTATCTGACCCCTAATCGCATTACGAGAGCTGATAGTGTGTGGTACTCCCCGGAACATGCACCACCTTCTAGACTTAATGGCATCTTTAAAAAGATAGCAGCAGTTTGTGGCTTACAGGACAAGAAAATGCCATGAAAGGCCTTCACTGAGTAGAGTTGCAGTGTGGCTGAAATTTTGAGGTGGCAGGATGGTGAGACCTGGCAGCATGATCAGGATGGTGAGACCTGATCAGGATGGTGAAACCTCATCGGGATGGTGAAACCTGATCTACTTTGGTGAAACCCGACCAGGATAGTGAAACCTGATCAGTTTGGTGAAACCCGACCAAGATAGTGAAACCTGATCAGTTTGGTGAAACCCGACCAAGATGGTGAAACCTGATCGGGTTGGTGAAACCCAACCAGGATGGTGAAACCCAACCAGGATGGTGACACCTGATTGTGTTGCCAGGTCTCGCCGCAAAAGCTATGCTTTTCCATGAAAGTTTCATGAAGTTGAGGGAGAAATGAAATATCCTGGGAGGGAGTGGTGTTAGGCATGGCTTGTGTATAGTAGCTGTTCCTGTTTTAGCGGTATGTGTATAGTGCCATCTTCAGTGGCGATCATTGCTAGGCAGACTGATCAGCATGCTGTAGAAACAGTCACTGCAATCTTATTACATTCAAATCTTATCATCTGATATGTTTCCTGTGAGATCTGAGGTTACCTCCCTCGAGGGTGAATCGTGACCAGACCTTCACCTCCCAGTTTAAAGGAAGGAGGAATAAGTTCTGTAGTGAGATGTTCTGAATGATGTGGCCTCATTTCTTTACCAATTCTATTTGTAAATGTTCAATCTTTGCAAAAGCGAACCTCAAACGGTGCTCCGCGAAACAACATGATGCGAAAAGATTTTTTGGGCATAAATAATCATTCTAAAAATGTTCAGTCTCTGAATACCAAAATCAGATATCCTTATCTGAATGATTTGTAAAAAAAAAATTTGAATTCTTGACACTGATTGGTTAATCTGTTTGATTGGCATTTTTTGAAATTGGTGAGTAACAACAAAGGCATGATACTACACAGATGACAACTTCTAAATTATATAATGTGATGTTTCGGATATGTTCTTATAGTGTGTTTAGAATAAGAGTGTGTTTGCTTGACAACTCTATACAAATCGATACAAATATGTCATATCATGATATAAGAAAGAAGTTGTTGCCCATATAGTATCTTGCCTTTCTTGGTTTATTAGAAAGTTCACTGACACACCCTCCCATGGAGATGTTTTCAGACCTTTACATAAAGAGGTATGTGTTGGAGTGAAAGATGTGTTTTTAATGAGATTGGAGTTATTGTGAATTTTCATCCATGTCCAAAACATTTTTCTGTACAGCTGTCATTTTACTTTTAGCAAATATCTATGTCAATGTCTGATATTTTTATTATACATGTATGTGAATGCATTATAATTTTCATATTGCTTTGCCCCAATTGTATTAGAATTGCATCATATCTGCTGTTCTTCTGTCTAAAGAAAAGACAACATTGCCCAGATTTCTCATATAATGTTGGGCCGAATTGGTAGGAGCACACTAGCAATTCGGGTAAAAGTCATGAAGGCTTTGAACATACGCACACAAAAAATGGCTTGCTACGAGCCTGATATACTGATAAAAAGTAAAGGCGAGAATTTATGGATATCAACTTGTTTATTTTGAGGAACACATGAACAAAATAAAGAAGCTGACATCAATAAATTGTTGTCTTTATCTGATCACTTCTAAATGTAGTTCAAGGACGTGATCCACAATAGTTACAGATGATGAACATTTGGGGATAGTTTTAAGAAGTTTTATACTCAGTCTTCGCAACAGACATAATTTTGCCAAAATATTTGTGATAAATATCATTTTTGGTTCAGAATAGGAATAAGCACAGCCAGGAGAACCAGTGAAGGTATCTTCATCATGTGTCAGGCAACAATTTCTGGTTATTATGTGTATGTGAGTATTCAAGTTTGGCAGTAATAAATAAGGGTTTAAGCTAGGATTATATATTTTACATTCCTTGGGCCTGATCCTTAAAGGATTTGTAGCGTTATGAGCTATCATAACTGTATAGTTTGTGATGGGCTTACGGATATAGGGCTACGAATGCTTTGAGGATCGTGACCAAGATCTTTAGGGTTGACAGATTGTAAAAAGTTGGGTCCCTATGTGTAGTGATATGAATACTGGACTGTTTGCTGGTGTTGTAAACACAGTGATGTACTGATGTCTGAAAAAGATTACAATTACGTGTGCTGCATGTTAAAAAATCTTCCTGTATATACTGCGATCCTTCATCTAAATGTTTCATAACATATCGAGGAATTGGTAGCCATTAGAAAAGCTGTTACATGTAAGGACTTGCATCTGTGTACAGGTGGTTATAACATGTCGAGGAATTGGTAGATATCCAGCCAATAAGAAAAGCTGTTACATGTAAGGACTTGCATCTGTGTACAGGTGGTTATAACATGTCGAGGAATTGGTAGATATCCAGCCAATAAGAAAAGCTGTTACATGTAAGGACTTGCATCTGTGTACAGGTGGTTATAACATGTCGAGGACTTGGTAGATATCCAGCCAATAAGAAAAGCTGTTACATGTAAGGACTTGCATCTGTGTACAGGTGGTTATAACATGTCGAGGACTTGGTAGATATCCAGCCAATAAGAAAAGCTGTTACATGTAAGGACTTGCATCTGTGTACAGGTGGTTATAACATGTCGAGGACTTGGTAGATATCCAGCCAATAAGAAAAGCTGTTACATGTAAGGACTTGCATCTGTGTACAGGTGGTTATAACATGTCGAGGACTTGGTAGATATCCAGCCAATAAGTAAAGCTGTTACATGTAAGGACTTGCATCTGTGTACAGGTGGTTATAACATGTCGAGGACTTGGTAGATATCCAGCCAATCAGAAAAGCTGTTACATGTAAGGACTTGCATCTGTGTACAGGTGGTTAAAGTGAATCCTTTCACCAGCAAAGCCTATGTTGAAATCTTATCATCGCTCTGGAACTGCCTGGATAGAGGGTATCCTAGTGTTTAAGATGGTGGCTTGTCTAGGAATCAAAGGTTTGTGTCCATGTACATGTAAAAAAGGTATCTGCACACTCAAATATCCAGATATTTAACCTCTTCCAAAACCCAATTGACCACAATGCCATTAAAGTCCATCTGTCTTTTGAACTCAAACCTAAGGAACTTGAACCATCATATTCCATTGAGTATTACTTAATAAATTAAAATTCCTTCAAGAGTATAATCAGGAAACTTTTCTGTGTTTTGGGGTAATTTTGCCAAACAGTGACAATCATTAACACTTCATTGTTCTATTTTTTTCCCCCTCTCCTTCTCAGATCACCCAGGGAGTTATTTCATTGGTCAATTTGTATTTTCAACTGGTGTCTCAAATTCCAACTATGTAGACCATTCTTGAAGGTATTAAGTTTATACAGTATCCTGCCAAGATGAAGATGCATGTTTTTATGGCAATTGGGGATTAACATATTCTAGATCTTACTTTTGAGAATGAAAAAAAAATATACTTTGTACAGTGTGTATATTTCTGCCTGGTTTTATTGTAACTGTTTTTATCCGAGGCTGGCGCCTTCACTTGATTTGTGGCAAAAAGTGCTGTTTGTAGATGGTTTTCCTAAGAACAGGATTGTGTTTCTTTATTTCATCACTGTATGATTTGGCCGACCTGGTTGTATTTTGAACAGCAATCCTTGATGTCTTCGTGATACTGTCATTCCTTAACAAAGGCTGTGTCCTACAGGAGATGATACTAGCGAGGGTCCAGGCCAGACAGCTCCAAGAATCTTTGTCAGATTGTCTCCACTTTTATAGAAATCACCAATATGTTCCTCTTTGCATGAAGAACTCCTCCATAGAGTGAGTGGTTTTACGCCTTATTTAGCAATAATCCAGCAGCATCACGGCAAGGGACACCATTGGGCTTCACACATTGTACCCATGTGGGGAATCAAACCCGGGTCTTTGGCGCAACAAGCAAACACTTTAACCACAAGGCTATCCCAGTGCCCTCTCCTCTTTAGAAGGGTCATGTGACTGGTTGCATGGTTGGTTGGCCTGACAAGGTTGGTTGTGTAGTAGCCGAAACGGCTGACCCAATAGGCTGTGGTTGGTTGGCCGGACAAGGGTGGTTGTGTAGTAGCCACAACAGCGACCCAATATGCTGTGGTTGGTTGGCCTCACAAGGATGGTTGTGTAGTAGCCACAACAGCGACCCAATATGCTGTGGTTGGTTGGCCTCACAAGGGGGGTATATAGTTGCCACCACAACAGCCCAATATGCTGTGATTGCCCTCTGTGAACCTAACAAGGATAGTTATGTACAGAAAGTGTGTTTTCCAATGAAAAAGTCTAAAATTGCAAACAGGTAATATATTGTTTTACGAAATTTGGACGGAAGGGCTGATATTTATCAACCAATCACAGAACTACCTTTATCTTGTAGAGTTATCTTTCTTACCTCATGGAGATAAGTCTGGTCTGAACATAAGCAGATCATTAAAACATGAAAGTGTATCAGACAAATAGCCAATCAAATGATTACTCTCAAATGAACCTGATGTGATTGGTTGGAATCAAGTATTCATCTAGGTCTGTGATCACTGGATTCTGTGTGTACCATGTGGAATGACAGGTCATTCAAGGAATTAAAAACACTTTCTGTATATTTGTAAAATGTACATACATATGAATAGCAGAGAGTGACTTGTGTTGTACAACACCAGCTGCCAATGGCGTGGTCGATGATGACCTTGTACATTCACTTTAACATCTACTGAATATAAAACATTAGGGATTATGAATATTTTTAGGAATATCTGTATGAAACTGTGTTCTTGGTCTTCACTGCGAAACTATGTCCAAAATATATTCATGATACCTAACTTTACTTCAGTATATAATGGTTTGGTTTTATGGAACCATTTCAGTTTTCTTTGTATCACAGAAGCTACTGTGACTTCTGGCAAAATATTAGTTTTTTTCCTAAATATGTTTTACTTTAGTTTCTTTTTACTCACAATTTTTACAAACAAGTTTAAAATTCCTGAATTCTTGTTTTGTCAGTCTGCAGTAACTGTGACATTGACCTTCGTTTTCATGAAGCTGACTAAACAAACCCATGCTGGTATGATCTTACAAAACCTTTAAGTTCACTGCCTGTTTGTTCCATATTTCTACTGTTAAACTCTCATGACATTGCACTATACTAATATGAACAAATATTTCCTGGTCCTAAGTATTTTGAATACTACATGTTAAAAAATATTCCTGTACCCAACGTTTGGTACTTTTTTATATGTCTTGGTTAAATTTATGTTTAGGTGTATTGTAAACTGACTTTTAATAACTTTGACAATATGGGCATGCAGATGGTCCGACAAAAAGAATTTGCTTTCAGAGGCTACTCACAGTTATTTCCTTGTGACATTGGTAGACATTTAATCCAAATGCTTGTAGAAACTGCCTTGTTCATTAATAGCATGCCTTGTACATACCTCCAGTGAACAGATGGAGAAAGAATGTGTTATAGAAGCTTATAGTGTTGTATGTTAGTTTACTGTAGGAATTTTGTTTTCATTCAAATGTTTGTCCATTCATAAAGATTGTGGCATACAATTTATCTTCTTGCTTGTTGTATTTACAAGTCAGTTGTGCCGATGGGTGCGGACATTCTGAACATAGGTTCAGTTGTTTGTGAATAGAAAAACAATTATATGAGGCAGCTTTTCATCAAGCCTTAGCAGTATGAAAGGTATAAATATCCACTCAATATCTTTTATTTATTTGGCATTTGTATATAAAGATTTCCGTTAATTTAAAGCACTGTGGGGGCACTGGTAGCCAGATCATTTGCTACTATTGACCAGAGTTATGTCCCTTAGAAGTGCCAGAAACCGATGATTGTCAGTTCTAATCCTAGTTATATTTTCAAGGTTTGTCAGTGCCATACTCATTCTTGTTGGTTTTCCTGACGTGGTCAACATCTGAGACCTGGGCCCCGCTCTCGTTCCTCAAAGCGATCGTAGCTCTATGACTGTTGTAAGTCTACGTTTAAGTATGGGAGTTACGATCATCTTAGCTCTACAATTGTTTTGTGGAACGGGGCCCAGAATCTGTTGCTCAAAGCGATTGTAGCACTAAGATGATCGTAACTCCCCTACTTTAGTTTAACACAGACTTGTGACTGTCGTAGCGCTGCGATTAGCTTTGAGGAACGGGGCCCTGCATCATATCGGGTTGTCCTCCCACTTGAGCTGACATGCTGTGATATTACAGAAATACTGTTAAAACGGGCATTAAACCCAAATCACTCATTCAAAACACTTTGTTTACTCAGTACAGATTTAGTTCAAGTTTTCAGCCGGTTTCACTTCAAGAGAAGTTGATGTTTGTTGTATGTAGTTCTTGCCACCTTCATCTGTTAAGAAAAATATTTTTATGGCTTCCCCATCAAAGAGACTTACTCCAAATTGTTTCCATGGAAATGAGACAATATGTAGAAAACCTTCAGCAAAGGCAGCAAAAGACCAAAGTGAAGGTGACACGCAACACACCAGGATTCATTTAATTTTGTGCGTTTTTTTTTTTTTTAGTAAAGGCCCAGAAACTAAGGCTACACACATTTGAGATTAGTCAGAATTGTTTCCATGGAAATAATACATTGTTTGTTTCCATGGAAACGTTTGGAAAATCCTTAAGAGTTCTTAAAAATAAGGCTATTGGTTGTTCATTAGAGATAGATCTATTAGCATAGTTTTACCTATCATTGTCGTTACAAGTTCAGTAATGCTATCCGCCATAAACGTGATAAGTAGTCACCATGACAACAATGTATGGCTGCTCCATTAATCGATTATCTGAATTTGTACTGTATTATTTTTATGTACATTGTATGGTACCGGTATCAGCTTGAGCCATAAAAAGGATTGGACAGACGTGAGTAAAAGGAAACTTTAGTCTTAGAAATTCCGACGACATGAAGGTCCTGGTTAAAACTGGTCTTCAGCACCCCAGGCTTGTTGTAAGAGGCGACGAACAGGATCTGGTGGTCAGGCTCGCTGAGTTGGTGACTCGTTATCGTATCCCAATTGCATAAATTGATGCTAATGCTGTTGATCACTGGATTGTCTGGTCCAGACTCACTTATTTACAGGCCGCCATATACCTGCAATATTGCTGAGTGCAAAACTCACTCACTATTAATTCTGACACTACAAATGGAGCTCGGAGATTAACACTCAGGATTTCTTTAGACACAATGGCATTGATCAGCATGGCTGGTCCAGACGTCTGTCACCTCAGTATAGAGTTATGTCCCTTAGACCTGCTAGAAACCTTGTTTGAATCATGTTCCGATTATGTTTCTACTTCAGCACTATGCTTGCAGGTAAAGTGGTAAATGTCGGAAACCTGCATCAGTTCAGAATTTCCTCCCACTTCAGGCAGACTTGATATTACTGAAATAGAGTCCTGAGTATTGAGTATACCAAACTCGGTAGTTCAGTGTATGAACACAGATTTAGCTCACTGAAAACAGGAAGCCCATTTCTGGTGTCCCTCGCCATGTTATTGCAGGAATATTGCTAAAAGCGGCGTAAAACCCAACTCACTCACTCACTGAAACAGCTTGGGTCATCCAAGTAGGATTACAATTCCATGACCTTTCAAAATACACATACCAGGTGGTCCAAGGATATAGGTCCACAGTACCTGGATCATGTACCATGTTAGCAGCAGCATCATTAGGATTGGTCCTGCAGTGGTCCAAGGATATAGGTCCACAGTACCTGGATCATGTACCATGTTAACAGCAGCAGCATTAGGATTGGTCCTGCAGTGGTCCAAGGATATAGGTCCACAGTACCTGGATCATGTACCATGTTAACAGCAGCAGCATTAGGATTGGTCCTGCAGTGGTCCAAGGATATAGGTCCACAGTACCTGGATCATGTACCATGTTAACAGCAGCATCATTAGGATTGGTCCTGCAGTGGTCCAAGGATATAGGTCCACAGTACCTGGATCATGTACCATGTTAACAGCAGCATCATTAGGATTGGTCCTGAGTGGTCCTGGATCAGGTCCACAGTTACCTGGATCATTTTACCATGTTAACATCAGCAGCATCATTAGGATTGGTCCTGCAGTGGTCCAAGGATATAGGTCCACAGTACCTGGATCATTTACCATGTTAGCAGCAGCATCATTAGGATTGGTCCTGCAGTGGTCCAAGGATATAGGTCCACAGTACCTGGATCATGTACCATGTTAACATCAGCAGCATCATTAGGATTGGTCCTGCAGTGGTCCAAGGATGTAGGTCCACAGTACCTGGATCATGTACCATGTTAACATCAGCAGCATCATTAGGATTGGTCCTGCAGTGTTACCTTGTTCAGTGATGCTTCTGTCTTTGTAAATACTCATCATGATAGTCTGTTCTCCATCTGTTGTAACTTCATTGCGCCGTTAGTACTCTGGAGAACGTCAGTTTGGATCAGCATCCAAGAACAAGGGAATATATCCCTGTGCTTTCTTCCATCTGGCACTGGACAATAGTCAGTTTGTGTCATGGAAGTACCATCTAAGAACAAGAGAATATATCCCTGTGCTTTCTTGAGCCATCTGGCACTGGACAACAGTCAGTTTGTGTCACATTTCTGGTGTCCCCCGCTGTGATGTTGCTGGAATATTGCTAAAAGCGGCGGAAAACCAAACTCAGTCAATCAGTTTTTGTCATGGAAGTACCATCTGAGAACAAGGGAATATATCCCTGTGCTTTCTTGAGCCATCTGGCACTGGACAACAGTCAGTTTGTGTCATGGAAGTACCATCCAAGAACAAGAGAATATATCCCTGTGCTTTCTTGAGCCATCTGGCACTGGCTGACAGTCAGTTTGTGTCATGGAAGTACCATCTGAGAACAAGGGAATATATCCCTGTGCTTTCTTGAGCCATCTGGCACTGGACAACAGTCAGTTTGTGTCATGGAAGTACCATCCAAGAACAAGAGAATATATCCCTGTGCTTTCTTGAGCCATCTGGCACTGGCTGACAGTCAGTTTGTGTCATGGAAGTACCATCTGAGAACAAGGGAATATATCCCTGTGCTTTCTTGAGCCATCTGGCACTGGACAATAGTCAGTTTGTGTCATGAAAGTACCATCTGAGAACAAGGGAATATATCCCTGTGCTTTCTTGAGCCATCTGGCACTGGACAACAGTCAGTTTGTGTCATGGAAGTACCATCCAAGAACAAGGGAATATATCCCTGTGCTTTCTTGAGCCATCTGGCACTGGACAACAGTCAGTTTGTGTCATGGAAGTACCATCTGAGAACAAGGGAATATATCCCTGTGCTTTCTTGAGCCATCTGGCACTGGACAACAGTCAGTTTGTGTCATGGAAGTACCATCCAAGAACAAGAGAATATATCCCTGTGCTTTCTTGAGCCATCTGGCACTGGCTGACAGTCAGTTTGTGTCATGGAAGTACCATCCAAGAACAAGGGAATATATCCCTGTGCTTTCTTGAGCCATCTGGCACTGGCAGAGGTCAAACTGGCAGATAATATTTCCTGTACAACTAGTTCTGACGTTGGTTGCACGATGTCTACAGTGATAGGGTCTCAGCGTAGTGTCCTTTAACTCGTATGTGTCGCCTTGTAGTTAAAGCATTCACTTGTCACACCAAAGACCTGGGCCTAGATTTTCGAAGCTCTCTTAACGCTAAGATAGTCGTAAGTGCCATACATTAACATTAACTTTCGACTATCTTAGTGCAAAGAGAGCTTCGAAAAATCTAGGCCCTGGCTTTGATATCATACGTAGGATATAACTTGTGGGTCTGCTCATAGGTTTGAGTCCCATTTACACCACATTGGCATGTATTTGAATCACCAGACTGGGTTTTCACCAAACATTAAAACACACTCAACACACCTGGCTTCACCTCACAATTAACTGGCATACCATGTAAAGTGAAGTTATGTGAAACAGGTGGCCCAGTTGTCCTAGGCACACCAGAAACCTAGAATCCTCGGTTTGAATCCTAGTTTTCTCAGGTTATGTTTCTCAGCACCACACCTGTGGTCATATCTTTCATCAAAGTGGTTAACATCCATGACCTAAATCACTTCAGGCTCTCCATCTCCACCCTGCTGAGACCCATATTAACACCAAGTGGTGTTAGGCCAAACTCGGTTAAATGGCCAATATACCCCTGCCCAATATATTTTGCTCATCGGTGATAGATGAGAAAAGTTGATTTTTCTTTTCATGAAGATCTGGGTTTCTAAATCATCACCTGGGTTACTTTGAAAGAGCATTATTTGACAGTCTCATTAAAATCAGAATATGCCAAAGTAAAGCTCTGTGCAAGAGACAACATGGCATCTGATTAGATTTTCTTTATTGAAGTAGCTGTTTGAGCCTTAATGTCTGTGCCAGGGTCGAGTCTGTACATGATGGATGTGGTTCATGTTGTCAAACATATTCCCCAATGACTTGTAACTGTATGGCAAGGAATACAGTTTGTGTTGAATATTCGTATTAAACATATAAACGTCCAAATGTGTCGTGTCTTTTTGAAAAACTCTCACAAATACAACAGTAAACCTTGGATTCCAACATTTCAGATTCAGATCCACTTTGGATCCACATCATATGAGAAGATGAAAATAATTCATGCATAGTAACCGAGTCGTCTTCATAATGAACTCCTGTCATGGCTGGATCCACAGTCCTGACAGCAAATAAAGGTGTCACACTTGATTGGAGCTTGGCCTCTGAACTGGATTTCAAGGGTAGATAACTCTTGACTGTGACCTTGCTGGCTATGTCCACTCTCCTACCCAGAGTTCCATGCGGCAAGCCAGCATAGTACCTCTGCCACAGGCCAGAAACGTGACGATTCGTCACATCTTGCAATGACCATTCAATATAATGTACAGATTTCTTTTACTCTTTTATTTTTTACGAGTCTTCACATCTAAGTAAACATCTTTAATAGAATGGTTTAGTTTCACTGAGAAAATATCCAAAAGCATGTAACACTATTTCGATTTGCGTAGCGATCCTTTGTATACATAGGTTGTACGGCTCCACGTGCTGTCATCGAAGCTGATGGAGAGCAAACGATGCAGCCAGTTTGATATCGAAATATGTACTGTTATAGACCTTACTGTGGCAGTTGTGGAAGAATATAATGTAACAATGTAAAACATTATGAAGAGAGCGCCGAAAAACTTTCGTGAGTCCAGTCTCTTCTTATTATGAATATGCGCGTTTGATTACAAACAAGAGAAAAGTCCGGTCACGTGATATGCAAATTAGCCTGTGGCAGTGATGTTATGTTAAGTCATCGCTGTGTCGGAGTGTGGGCTATGTCAGAACATCACAGGGCCACTGATACATATTAACGCCATCTTACCTGTTGTCCAAAATAATGCAAATGCTCCATTTAAAAAAAAACCCATGTAGACAAATAGAGTTGGAATCTAGTCAAAATTTCAGAACATAAGTGTCCAGAGAAGAAGAAAAAAATTCACTCCCTCACGCATTGTTTTATGGTTACAGTTTGTCTGCTGTTTAACGCCACACTCTGCAATATTCCAGCAATATGGCTGCGTTCTGTAAATAGTTGAGTCAGACCAGACAACTGTGTGACCAACATCATGAACATTGATCTATACCGTTGGGATACAATGACATGTATCAAGCAAGACAGCAAGTCTGACCGCACAGATCTACAAGGGTCTGTGATGGTTACAATCTCATAACCTGGTTGTACACTGCGTTCACTATGTCACGTAGTTCTGACTCGTGTCACGAATCCTGTGTATTGTTTGTCCAACGTAACCACTATGGACTGGCCACCTTGATTGATTCACAGTATCAAATCCATAAAGAATTGACAATAACTCTCGCTATCAAAGTGCCATAAAAGTTCATTCATTTTCCTCCATAAGAACACTGTAAGTACTGTTATTTACTCTTTTAATGACATAGTAACAAATCATTGAAAATATAACTCTTATTACAACCGAGACATGATGTAGAGTAAAAAGTCTGAAGGCTCATACCAATTATGGATGAAAAGACAAAACAAATTACACATCTGTTGCCATTTCTAAACATGCACTGCTAAACGAAGACGTATCTTTTCTTTCCCTCAGTCACGCCAAGACTGAAAATGACAGACGATGAAAATAAAGCGAATGACATAAAACACAAACAATATTGCTCGTTGCTAAGAAACACAGGGCATATTTGCACTCATGTGGATGTCTTTGATAATAACTGGGAACAAAACTAGATGGTTGGTTTGTTGTTTAACGCCGCCCTCAGCAATATTCCAGCTATATGGTGGAGGTCTGTAAATAATTGAGTCTGGACCAGGCAATCCAGCATACTGAACAAAATCAAATGAGAGGTACAGGGCAAATCGGGGTATTCCCTGATAAAACATTACTACAATATATAAATAACAGACTTAAGCCAAACTTACTCGTTCTAATTGCCATGAAGCAAGGAAAAAATGCATGCATATGTGAAAATTGAAGATTAAAATACAGCTATGCCATCATTCAACTGTTTAAACTAGATTTTACTGACCTTTCTGCTATGCAGATTTTTAGCTAAATTCTAAGCATGTGCATCTGCAACAATCACATCGCACAAAAGGCATGAGCTGTATTTGTGTACAAGCTAGATCAAATGCAGCACAGATATCATGTGAAGATTCTCATGTATTGCTAATGTGCTGCATTAAATTACCATGCAGTATATTTGTCAAGTATATATTTTCATATATTTATTGATATATTGTATATTTCAGATTGTATTTGAAATACTGATTACACAGTATTTTCTTAAGTTGACACTGTATTTTAAGTCAAGTAATTATCTTATATCTATACATTTGTTAAAAATAATAATATTCAACAGCTTCCTACCTGATACAAAATTCTTAAAAAATGTCCAATCACTTGTGTTATTCTTTACATAATACAGGATGGGAACAGAAGGCACTTCCATGATTTTATTACCTTTCTTTAGCATAAATAATTCAAAACTTACAAGGAGCTAACGTAGCAACACATACACCTGTCTCAAAATAAAACACAGTTGCATATGCAGTTGGTGACAAGGAACGAACCACTTGGAGATACCGAGATAACAACTGAATAGTTCAGATATCTGGATGAAACATTGCGCAGGAAATATACTGACACCCAAAAGAAAGTATACACTTGAAACTTGGATTTGACAAACAAATTACAGATGATATTAAACATCACTAGACTGAGAACAGTTGCCTAAAGACTCACAACTTAAATGTTTAAACGAAAATATATCAAATACCTCCCCATTGAAGAACCATTGCTACATTTTCAGCCACCATCAAACACAAGTGTTCACCAAGCGAAAAATGGGTACCCAGCGGGACTAGACATAGGATTAACCATCTTGCGCCTCACAGCCAGCTTTGGTAATCCGGGGTAATATTTATCTGATTGTGCACTTTAAGGCAGGATATGAAGCCTAGAAAGGCATTTTATAAATTTTAAGGGTTATTATTATCATTAAGTGTTTATTATTATTATTAAGTGTATACTTTCTTTCAGTTTAATACATGCTTGGTACTATAGAGTGATGTCACATGAATTATTCAGAAAATGTGTTCATTTAACCACAGATATTACAGAATTTTCTTGTTCACTGGCAGACCAGAATCATTGGCCATCTTCCTCCAGAGAACACCAAGCTGGTGCACTGTCATATTCTCAGAGTTGTAAAACCTATTTTGAGAATGCTTGTTAATCCTTAGGTAGAAGAAATATTTACTGTCCATTGCAGCCTCAGGGCGTCTTGCAGTGAATTCTCTGAAGAAAGACAGGAAGCACCTATCAGGGTTGTCAGGTCTGCCATAAACTTTAAAAGGAAACATGGCTTTTTGTGACCTCCTCCTCTGAAGGTACTCCTGTCCTTGTTCATCTTGTCCGACAACAATATCCCCCCACCTCAAGTTGTAGTGCTCGGAGGGTTTCTTGATTCCTAAGTATTTAGAATTCAAGACCCACATTGTGTTTAGAAGAGTTTCAGAATTCTTGGCGCCAAGCTGGTTGGATTTGAACATCATTTCAATATCATCCTCATTGACAGGTATGTATCTCTGTGAGGGACCCAATTCATTGCTCTCCTCCATCCTTGCCTTGACGTACAACTGGCAGGACAGAAACCTTGGGTCTTTGACGGTTGAACAGGGATAGCCGCTGGTCCTCAAATACCTGTCCAGGTGTGACTGGAGATTCTTCAGAGTGTGAGCAGTGGGCAACCCCCCATCCAACTTCCTCACCCCTTTGAAAAAGTCGAGGAGAAGAGGGTTGAGAGCTTTAGGAGAAAGAGTCAACATATCAATATGTTTGCCAGTTTTTTCTTGGTGGTACCTGGTAAACTGATTGACAGCATATTTGATCACATGCTCGGTCCCCCGACTGCATCCCTTCGGAGATGCCTTTCTGGTGCCAAAAAGAGTTCTATGGGATTCAGAACCCTCAGGTAAAGGTGCTTCTCTACGTTGAAACAAATACTGAGAAGTATCCTCCTCCATGGACGAAGGCAAGTCAACCTGACTGTCATCCTGATTGTCAACCTGACTGTCATCCACCTCATCCTCAAACAGTGCAAGGTCAGTGATATCCTCCTCTTCACAAGCAGCAGATGAGATGGACTCCGGTTCCTGCTTCACCTTCTGTTCTACATTCTCCAGGAGGAAGTCACTTGGCAATATTGCGGATACTTCATGTCCAGACTCCTCCTGGATATGGGAGACTGTTGTAAGTTGATGTCCTGAAGATTTGTTGCTCCTCAGTGGGGAGGAGAATGATCCCTGAGGGCTTCTGGACAATGATCCCTGAGTAGACCAGTTTTGCAGTTGTTTACTAGCAGGAGTGGATTTTTGCTTGATCAACCAAGGTTGATCATCCAGATCCATGTTTTCTGTCAAATCTTTTTCATCATTATTGATTATTGTATAATGGTTACTGTTCTTTTCAGGCCACAACGGACTTCTTGGTCTGCCCCGATGATATTGTATCTTAGTTCTATGTTCTCTCTTTACTTTGCTCCTCTGCATGACAAGTTCCGCCTCCCACTCAGAGGACTTGTTGTTGTGCTAAGTTGAGACAGGTTTCCTGAGTTTCTGGATGTTCTGAACGACTTTGTACAGTAGCTCTCACTGACCACATCGCCACTGCTCTGTAGCAGTTCACTCAGGACGTATCTCTCCTTCTTCATGTTGTCGATCTCCAAACACACATAGCCACTGACCTCCACAAACTCACTGAAGTGGAGGTAGTTGCGACACACATCTTGAAGCTGCTCCACAAAGGAGGTAAAGAACTCCACTGAGTACTGTTTCTCCATCTCCACACATCAGACGTCTTCCTAACAAAAAATGGGAAGCCAAACATTCAGCAAAAGTCAAAAAGCACACATCGTAAAAACAATCCTTCCCATAAACAAAACACTTACTTGAGTGGGTGAGTGAGTGAGTAGGTGGTTGGGTGAGTGAGTTGCTGTTTTCAACAGTATTTCAGTTTCATAACAGCATATCATCCCACTGTTGGATACACCTGTAGTGATGCAGGTATTTTACATAATCAGGTCTAAGACTTTTAACAGAATCAGTATAAAGCAGGCATTCAAACAAACATTCACTGATTTTTAAAATCCTAGAAGTAGAAAACACATCATATCTAGCTGTGGACAAACACACTGACTTTGATTTAAACATGTTTCACTAATTTTCCTATGCAATCTGATTTAAACATGTATCACTAAGTAAGTTTCCTATGCAAACAAAGTGTTCCAAATCAAACAGACAAACTGATACGCTCTGCATGTATCACATTCTAAACCATGTTTCAGGTTAACTTCTACTAATGGCCCATCACCGACCTAGAATATTTTTTTATTGATGGGCAGCCCACTCCCAATGACCATCCTCTTCCAGAGGTTGATAAGCGAGCACCAGGACATGGACTCTGGGAGGAACCACACATCCATCACAGGGGACTTGTTGCCTTTCAGATAAAAGGCACTTGCTCCATCAAGCATCAACTTTGGTCGAGCAGCCATGTACTGCTTGTACACATTGACGAAACACCTTTCAGGAATATCTGAATTTGCAAATACTCGGAGAGCAAAAGCCTCATAGCCTTTGGTCTGCCTCTCGAAGGTACTCATGACCTTGGTCGTCCACTTTCAAAGCAATGTCCCCCCATTTCAGATTGAAATGTTCGGAAGGTCTTTTAATAGCAAAGTATTTGGAATTGAGAACCCACATAGTATTGATAACAGATTCCGGGCTATGTGATCCAAGTTGGCGAGTTTGAAAAAGAATTTCAATGTCCATGTCAGTCACTGGTATATGTCTCTGCGCAACAACATATTTACTATTTTCATGAACTTTCGCTTTGATGAAATCTCTGGAAGTTTTGAAGTGCTCATCCTTTGAAAGTGAAAATGGGTAGCCTCCTTCTCGGAGGTATTTGTCCAGGTATATCTGCACATTTTTCAGTGATCCTGGTGTGAGTTCTTTGCCGTTGAGTGTTCTCCCACCCTGGTAGAAGTCTAGCAGGAGCTCATTCAGCTGTTCAGGAGGAGTGGACCACAGGTCGATGTCCTGGCCGGACTTGTCAGAGTGGTACCTCTGGAACTGCTTAATGGCTGACTTCATCACATGTTTGGACCCAGGACTCATGGCACTGGAACTTTTCTGGACGAAACAGGCGGGAATATTTGGACTCGGATGGGAAGCTGGAGCAGTGGAGTCTCGGGAGTCTTCCTCCATGGGAAAAGGTTCATTTGTCAGACTCTCTTCCAAATCATCTTCAAACAAATCCAGATCTATGACTTCATCTTCATCATCATCATTTACAGTTAACACAGAGGACAAAGGTTTTGATCTGACAGGTGCTCTTTCTTCAGACTGATCAGGGGAAGAGGTGGGTGACTGAACAGTGAAGTTGTGTTGTGGGTTATCATTCTGGTGGGATTTGTGGGAAAAACTTGTATTGTCCAGATCAACACACTGAGGCAATGTCACTTGGACCTCTTCACCTTTTACTTCAAAATTGTGAAGAGCAGAGCCATCACTAACCGTAGAACCTGGACTAGTTGTATAGTTGCTGTGTATATGCAGTGATTTGGACCTTGGCCTTTCTGTACTGGAAGTCTGCAACACTCTTTGGCCTTGAACACTAGCTGAATCAACATTCAAATATTGTCTGTTCTGCTGCATCGAATATTTCTGTGTGAAGTCTGCTTCAGCTGGGATACTGGAACCCTTGACTGACAATTTCTGACAGCAGATATGTCACCTCTCTTGACAGGACTTGAAATACTTCTACAGTCATCATCATCATTTGTAACAGTATGGCCGAGTTGTCGAGATGGAACTGGTTTGATTCTGGTTAAGAATTCAGACCTCTGTCCCTGTTGACCAAACATATTTTGATTTGAGACCAGTCTTTGATCACTCTGTCCATAGTTTGATTTGTTCCTATTGAAATTGGTCCTTGAAGTTAGAGGTAGCCCTAGTCTTGCACTCACATCTGACGATGACACATTTTTTGAATTTCTCAAAGTCTTGAAAGCCTTTGTACAGTAGCTCTCACTGACCACATTACCACTGCTCTGTAGCAGTTCACTCAGGACGTATCTCTCTTTCCTCAGGTTGTCGATCTCCACACACACATAGCCACTGACCTCCACAAACTGACTGAAGTTTAAATAATTCCGACACACTTGTTGAAGCTGCTCCACGAAGGAAGCGAAGAACTCCTGGGAATATTGCTTCTCCATCACACTTCTTCCTCTTCCTAGGAACAAAAGAAGTGGAATTAATTGGCTAAGCGCTCCAATGAAGTATTCTTTACAGTTCATACTATCATGCAAAGTCTCTCCTCTTCAGATTCAGAGCTCTTTGGAGAATTTGCTGGGAAGAAGGCTCCCTAACAACTAAGCACAGGTACCATCTCCAGTGGAGGGACAACCCAATAGAGCTATGGGCAACAACCATCTGAGGGACTACTGGAGAAACCACCCATGGGAACTTAGTGGAGGAACAACTCCAAAGAATTAGGTGGAGAAACAGACTCTGAAGAAAGAACTCTAGCACACACACAGGATCCACTGTCCCAAACCACAAATGTTATCTAATCCAAAAATTGCAAGTGTTCAACTGTCCAAACCAATGCAAGCGATCTGCTGCCAAAAGAACAGCAATGGTCAACTGCCCCAGACCACACCAGTGATCTACTATCCCAACCACACAAGCTATACAAAGTCCCAAAAGTCTACTATCAAAACCCAAACAAGTTAGCATCCCAACCAATACTTCCCAAACAATCTAAGTGATCTGACAAGCCAGTACAAGTGATCCACTGCCCACCCCTTTCATGTGATCTCAGCCCCAACCACTCAAATCGAACCCACACAAATGTTCGATGGTCCCAACCCAACAAGAGATCCACTGTCCCAACCAACTCAACAGTATGGCATGCACGCTTCCAGGAATACCTGTAAAAACGGGTTCAGGCTAAAACGTCACCACAGCAAAACGGCACCTGGCGAAAACGGCACCATTTGGACATAACGGAACCTCAACTTGGCGAAAACGGCTACAAATCTTATGGCGAAACGGCACCAACTAAAACCTTATGGGGGAAACTAGTTTGTTATTAGACAATCAGATTGCAGAATATTTAAATGCGTCTACACTGCCGACAGTGATTGGAAAGGGCACCCTATAGCCAATAATCGGATTGCAGAATGTTTAGATAGTAAATACATCTACTGTGCCGACAGTGATTGGAAAGGGCATCCCAATTTAGCGTGAAAACATTGCAACCTTTCATGTTTTAAGTACATTTACTCAATTGAAATCGCTCAAACTCAGAGTCAAAATGAAATTGTATTCAAAATGCACAAATGTACCCATTACATATCATTCATCACAATGTCTTACCACTGTGTTGTATGTGATAAGACTGTGAGAAAAAATCAACATGCTGTTTCTTGTGACGAGTGTGAATTATGGACTCATTGTGTTTGTGGTACCAGACTTTCTGTATCATGGTACCGTGAGATTTGTCAAAATGAAGAAGATTTCCCTTTCGTATGTGTGCCTATGAGACACAGGTAGAATCACAGTTGTATAAAAACATGTAAAATGTGTAATGTTGACAGTGCTGTTGTTATTTTAATCTTGTTATTTTAATGAAATGAGTGAGTGAGTATGTTTTATATATGTTGATATAATCTTGCTAATGTTATAATGAAATGAAATAAAACATAAAAGTCAACGTCATACTTTGTTTTATATATGGTACCGTTTTCGCCAAACAAATTTGGTGCCGTTCTGCTGTGGTGCCGTTTTAGCTATAACCCGTAAAAACAGGTCTACATATCCTTAAAACTGGACAAAAAGGTAACATTGCATGTTTCTCCACAAGGTGGATTTCTTTAATCAAATCAATGCTAATAGAATGACTAGTTCGGCTAGAATGCACTTTACCGGGCGCAGACCTCGCTGCTCCCTTTACGATCCTTAGGGTTAGGGTTTAGGGTTAGGGTATGCCACCCTTTACGATCCTTAGGGTTTGGGTATGCCACCCTTTACGATCCTTAGGGTTAGGGTTTAGGGTTAGGGTATGCCACCCTTTACGATCCTTCGGGTTAGGGTTAAGGTTAGGGAACCCCAGCAACGCTAATTAATCTGAAAAAGAGCGCCCGGTAAAGTGCAGTACTCCCACTAGTTCATATAAATACACTCGTATTCCAACCAAGGCCTACACCTTGGTATAGTGCAGAGTCGTCAAGTTATATGCTGGACTAATAAAACGACATGGTGCAGCAGAAGTCTTCCATCCAACCTTCTGACGACATGAACTTTGTGTAAGTCCATAAACCAAATTGTAAGATTCATAAACCAACACACACATTCCGGAAAGTAAAATAATATTATGTTTACTCGAAACAACCACCTATATCCAATCGAAACTGTCACCAGGGGAAGTAATTCAAATATGAAAAATTCCCGAGATTTTATGTGATCGACGGAAGCGCCATGCCATACAAGGCACACGCATGTGTTTTTGTATATATAATGCCATGGATGTCATTAATCTTTGTGAGTTCATTAACGCTGCGTTTGCAGATTGAATAATACAAAGGCTCACAGTACTCTGGCTTACCCTCTACAATGAAAGATGCATCTTCGAATGGGCTACAATGGAAGGCATATCCCGTAGCACCGATATTGTTTATAACGCACGTAAATAGTATACTACCTTCAGTTCAACTATTTATCATCAATCGAGCGTCTGACGGACATTACACGAAACTTTCTATATTTCTTGTAATGAGTTTAGAGCTTGACACATGAGTTGACAATACGCTAACCACGATATAATTACAAGATTACAGCGTGTGTAATTTATTGAATATTAAACTTGTCAGGAACAAAAGCTATTCGCGACAGGGCGATGGGGTAAAAACGGGACCAGGCAGTATAAGTGATTAAAAGAAACTTTATCATACTCCATTTATATATATTTAACATGAGATTCTCAAATTTATCATGTTTATAGACAAATATCTGCCCTTTGGTTTCCTTATCCAACCAAAGATTTTTTTTAATCTTTAACATATTTTCCGGCTTTTTTCTGTGCCTTTTCTTTTGCCCTTTTTCCTCCTCGCAAACAGACTACATATTGATATATCGTCTTTGATGTAAACATATCAAATCAATATATACATTCCTATTGCATCCATTCATTTCGTTAGTCATATTAACATTTATACTCAACAAGTACTTCATTTATGCTCGACAAGTAATTCATATATACTCAATGAGTAATTCACATATGATAAACAAGTAATTCATTTATACTCAATACGCAATTCATATATACTCATAGGTAATTCATATATAATAAATAAGTAATTCATATATAATAAATAAGTAATTTATTTATTTTCAATAAGTAAATCATTTATACTCAATATGTAAATCAATAATCAAAAGGTACACGTTACCACATTTTATTAACTGCCACAATACTTTGACTTGACAAGTGTCTCATGGCTTGTTTTATTACTTGGGAAGGCAGGGAAACAACAAATACCGTATTTTAACTTCGTTAGGTATTACGCGATCGGGGATCGAACTACCGACCTTCCTCTCTCAGGCAGACGCTTTATCCACAAGACCAGGAGACGGACATTAATATTCCATGCAGTACAGGTTTTGTTCCCCTGAAAAGGTTATAAAACATTAAAAGTAAAACAGGCAAAATGAGAAATAGAGAATTTATGTTCTTCATTACTTAAATACTCCAATAGTTACGTGTCTTAATCTTAATTTTTATTCGACAGCCAATACACGTTTTTGAATGGATCATACCCTATACCAACTGATACAAAAGGCTTAAGTGAAATTTACGTTTATATTCGGATCCTAGGCGGATCCAGGGGTGGGTGCAGCCCTTTTGTCCTGAAAGTTTATTAAATGACCATTGAAACTCTCGTGAAAATGAAGCGTGCACTCCCACTTTCTCAAGAGTGATTACCACACCTCGTCTGTGTCCACCCCTGGTTCGATAGACTTCCACAAATATCATTGAGCAGTGCTTCGTCGAATTTATAACAACTTTTTATAGCAAATCATTATTTTTATTTTGTAAAAGCTGAAGCATACTGAACAAAAGACATGTTCAAAAGACCATGAAGGAACATGTCCAAACCCCCCCCCCCCGTTAAGATCCCCTGTTTTGTTCCCTGTTCCTGCCCTAAATATTTACTTGCGTTGTAAAATTCCTAGCAATGATAGCTATGAAGATTTGTTTAGTCTGAAAATGAAGAAAGTCATGTCTCCTTTTTATTCCACCATATTAACATAATTTAGGAACTGTTTTTACAGTAAAATATGTTCATTTCAGAGACTAGATGCTAGTCAAACATATGTACTTCACATACTAAACTTCACTCGTAAACAGTTTTTCTTGTTATATTAAACTTCACTCGTAAACAGTTTTTTTTCACATATACTACCTTCACTCGTAGATAGGTTTTCTTCACATACGAAACTTCACTCGAAAACAGTTTTTCTTCATATGCTAACTTAACTCGTAAATAAGTTTTCTTCACATGCTAACTTAACTTGTAAATTGTTTTTCTTCATGTGCAAACTTAACTCGTAAATAGTTTTTCTTCATGTCCAAACAACTCGTAAATAGTTTTTCTTCACATGCTAACTTAACTCTTAAATAGTTTTTCTTCATATAATAAACTTCACTCATATACAGTTTTTTTCTGTTTATACTAAATTTCACTCGTAAACAACTTTTCTTTATACAGTATGTTTCACTCGCGAACATCTGTTTCATAAATGTATCGGTCACATTAACCTATAACTTCTGTAAGGGGCGGTGGGGTAGCCTAGTGGCTAAAGCGTTGGCTCGTGACGCCGAAGACCCGGGTTCGAATCCCCACATGGGTACAATGTGTGAAGCCCATTTCTGGTGTCCCCCGCCGTAATGTTGCTGGAATATTGCTAAAAGCGGCGTAAAACCAAACTCAGTCAGTCAGTATAACTTCTGTTAACATAGGGTCACCAAATTAAAGTACACAGATACACTTTATCGCCTTTTGAATAAGAAATTAGGTCATCTGTAATAGTTAACGTACGTTTAAATAGTCCGTGGCATACTAATACACTATTTATTCACATTAGATTCACATTAATATAATAGATTATATGGTCTCTGGTGATATAAACTATTTATCATTCAAAACTGTGTTCCAAAGAGGATATTGCTTGTGTGAGATCAAACGTTATTACCCACGTGGTCAACGTATGGGTAGTTGCATACTAATCTCGTACGTCACACGAGTGTCGTATCGCGTTGACCTGTGTCGTAACGACTTGACGTTTGATTCTAACGATTTGATTGGATAACCGATGACCTCTCAATTAGGTCACATTCTGACGTAACTATTTTTTCATTCATAACAAACACGTGAATTCATTCATTCTACAACTTAAATGCATTGTGGGAATGTAAACATTGTGAACGTTGCCGTGTCGCTGTTTAATTGTGAGTCGAACTGAGACATTATATCTGTCGAAAAACATAAACGCAATGTTTCCACCAGTGATGTTAGCCGAATGAAGCAACTGGAAACCAAGAAACGAGGTGCAACGGAGTAGTTTACTGTAGGAGGCTGTACGAGGCGATGACAACTGGCATGCATCGTGACGTCGGTTACCATGGCAGTGACGTCATTAGTGTGACGTCATGCAAATATTGTACTACAGTACAAAACTCTTCCGCAACCTCTTTATGAAACCGGTTTCGGTTTGAAACCAAAAACATAACAAAAATACGCTGTTTTGTCAATTTAAATGCATGTAAGACGTGGGTAATAAATAAAATACCACACTCGGTCTCATTACATACGAATTATACGAAACTCGTGACCTTCCTATGTTATCTGACCTCGCTTTCGCTCGGTCAGATACCATAGGAAGGACACTCGTTTCGTATAATTCGTATGTAATGAGACCTCGTGTAGTATTCTCTATATATCTCCTGGGATTATATCGTTTTGACAGTAGATTTTGTACAATGCCCTGTCGTCATCAAATGCATAACTCGCAATGCTATGACGCCAAAAACCTGATGACGTCACAATGCTATGACATCGCTGCACTGCATGTCTAATGGCAGTACCGTGTTGAGAACTTCAGAGATGTACATTTTTCATTGAAAACTAATTAAGAGAGATTTTTTATGATACAAAGAATCTCACCCTCGTGTCTTCTGATATCAAATGTATCAACAATCGTTGATAAAAGTAAATATATCCTCGGCAAGCCTCTGATATTTGTAACTTTATCAACTCGTAGTGATATATTTGATATCAAAAGACACTCGGGTGAAATTCTCTATATAACCGTGGAACTTGGTGTTTATAGACCTGTAGCAGTGTATGAAATAAGGCCCGTCCGACCGCCCGAGACTGTCTAGATTTCTGATGGACGATCTAAATTTACAGCTAGCCAGCCCTATGGTCTGGTGAAATTTTTAGATGTTCCATTCATCTGAGTAAATTCACCATATTTGGTCATTTTGGGCTGATAACATTTTGAAGTTACCAGCCCTGATGTCTGGCTGGATTTTTGGCTTATTTCATACACTGCCTGTAGGTATTTCATACGACAAAATCGGCTCAAATCAAACTTGTGTTTATGGCTTCATGTATCCCAAGATCATGTGATCATGTGATCATGTTCCCTTCTAAATGGCAATCAATACTTCATACTGTTAACGGCGCGAAATCAGAAATCCCTCACGAAACCTGTAGTCATTCAAGTCTTGCTTTGCCTCATGGGTATGTAAAGATAAAACCTTGTATAACTTCAACGGCCCCGACGGTAATGGTGGTGAATAACATGCGTCGTGTGGATAGTAGTACTAATATTTAACTGTACAGTCTGACCCGCGAGAGAGATGTGAGGCCGTGGGGGGAAATTACGTCGAATTGCTTTTGAGCATACGCTTGAGGTTAGTATTTTTCAACATTTCAACAGCTAAGTAATTTGTTCATTGTGCACCATTCCGCTTCTCAAACGAAGACAATAGCCTAAGAATAAGTGCACTGTAATGTTTTTAGCTTATTTGGTATGAATCGAAAGAGATTTATCTCCCTTTGTTGTAGAAAACCCCTTGAACATATATTTTCATTTGGAGATCGGGTTACATAATCATACAATGTTATTAATGATGTTTTGTTATGTACTGTATGCAGTCTGTATTATTCTACACTAGTAAATGTACTTGTATATGCTCATTGTAGATCTCTATGGCTGGCCATGAAGCTGAAATTGTTATTCACTGTCTGTGTCATACAAAAATATCTGTAACATAATGTTTCTGTTTTGTTGTATGTTGCTAAAGCAATGTTCAAGCCTCATGACAACGGTCTGTAAATGATTGAATCTTGACTATACAATCCAGTGATGGACAGCATTGATCTACACAATGTGTGATACAACATCCATCAAACGACTCAGTGTGCCCAACTAACCGATGCTGCTAGTCGCCTCTTATAACAGCTGAAGATCAATTCTAACCTAGATCTTAGGGTTCTTTCCTGTGTACAGAAATGTAAATCTCCAGGAATTGTAATGGTGATTATCTAAAGGTGCGTAGATTTGATCCAGTGTGCCCAACAAGAGATCGCGAGATAACCCAGCATATCAGTTTCATTTGCTCTTGTAAAACCTTAAAATTTTCTTACTTCTGATAAAATATCAATATTAAGTACATGTACTTTACTTTGGAAATGTGTAAACATTGCCCGTGTGACGAATCAGCCAGTGTGACGAATCTGGCAGTGTATAGTTTACTTCCTGGTACAGATTTTACGTCATGTATATATTAAGAATATCAATGTCAAAGTATAATCACAGCTATTAAGCAACTATATCTTGATAAAAACACAAATTGTATCAATAAGTTATATTTATAGATGTACCTCAGATACATTTCCAAGACCTTAGTGACCCCAGCTTGGCAACCAGTGGCATATGGTATGGCGTTATCAGGATGTGTCTCGTTTTCACTAAAGTGGCAGAAGGGTAGTCTAGTGGTTCATGTGCTCACTCGTCGTGTCAAAGACCCAAGTTCACTTCCCCTCATGGGTATACTGTGTGAAGCTGATTTCCAGTGCCCCCTGCCATGATATTGCTAAAGGTTTTGTAAAACTAGACTCACTCACTCACTCACTGTTTTCACTCTGTGCATGAGACCAGTTCCATTTGTGTCTGCTGTTTCCCTTAGCTACCAGAATTATTAAGTATACAATAACTGCATATTATCTGGGATTTTATGCAATGGTTTTTATTGCATTTTGAAAATAATGAAAGTCTTGTTTCACACAATTCATGAATGTTGCTTTTTCACCATTGTCTGATACTGATGCACTGTCCGGTCATTAGAGACTTGGGACCTTGTTGGAGAGTTTATAAAAATGCATACAAACTGGATATGGATGTAGCACACAATATGGTGGGTAGAGTCAGATCAAGAGGTATCCTTAATATATTGATTGGTTCAGCAGTAAACCTGATAAGGACTAAAGCTTTGGATATCGAAAATGTACCCTGAAACTTGATTGTCATTTCTGTGGTTCTAAGTGATTCAGCATATATCTGGTTTGGAGAATGAAATGTTTTCAGAGACTAACACTGACATATTTCCATCTTTTCCATGCAAGGGATGCTAAAATTTAAGCCAGACTGGGAAACTTAACTCTGCTAAACATTTAATGCTCTTATTTTCATGCTGATGATGTCGGACATGTCTGAAGAATGCTGTGTTGTCAGGGAAACCAGATGGGCTACTTTGCCTGAACATGCCAAAACTGAGAGACAAACATTCGAGGAAAATGACGCTTGCATGGCCGCTTGTGATGGATGGTGTATGGCTTGATGAAATCCTGAGAACATTCCATGATATATCTACAAAAGGACTTAATTTGTGATTTTTCTGTTCCTAGGAAGAAGTAGAAGAAGAGGAGCAAGAATGGAGAAGCAATACTCTGTGCAGTTCTTTACATCCTTTATAGAGAAGCTTCAAGGATTGTGTAGAAATTCTCTAGACTTCAGTCAGACTGTGGACGTCAGCGGCTATTTGTGTTTGGAGATCGACAACATGAAGAAAGAGAGATATGTCCTCAGTGAACTGTTACAGAGCAATGGGAATGTGGTCAGTGAGAGCTATTGTACGAAGGCGTTCAAAACGTCACAGACTATAAATCCATCCCGACCTCGCCCGATGATTGGGAGGAATAATGTGAACGTTCCGACAAGCAGAGACAATGTTCACCAGCATAATCAAAACAGAAGACGATCAAGGCCTGATTCCTCAGGTGCTCAGAATCCAAATATTCCATCAAAAGTTCGTAGATCAGTTGATGTCATTGAAGTCATTGATGACGATCAGTCACCTGGGAGTATGAATTCATCAGGGAAGAGTTACCAGTCGAACCCGAAGCAAGGGCAGAGATGGCCTGCAGGCAGGGAGATGGCCAGCATGCAGAGACCCCCACAGAGCCAAGTAAAGAGATCCCCTGTAAGTCAGAACAGACAAAAGGATCAGTATAGTGCCATGATGAGACAGCAGGGACAATACGGTGCCATGGGTAAACCGCCAGATTCATATAACGCCACAATGAGGCAGCAGGAGCAAATGGCTCCCAGGAACAGGCTTCAGGAACAGTTGGGTAGTAGGAATAAACAGCAGGAACATTATGGTGCCATTAACAGACTACAGGAACAGTTTGGTGCCATTAGCAGACAGCAAGGACAGTTTGCTGCTATGAACAGCCCCCAGGGGCAGTATAACGCCTTTAACAGACAGCAGCTTGGTGCCATGAACAACCAGCAAGGGCAACTTGGCGCCATCAACAGGCAGCAGGGACAACTTGGCGCCATGAACAACCAGCAAGGACAACTTGGCACCATTAACAACCAACAGGGACAACTTGGTGCCATGAACAACCAAGGGCAGCTTGGTGCTTTGAACAGCCCTCAAGGGCAGCTTGGCGCATTGAACAGCCCTCAAGGGCAGCTTGGCGCATTGAACAGCCCTCAAGGGCAGCTTGGCGCTTTGAACAGCCCTCCAGGGCAGCTTGGCACTTTGAACAGCCCTCAGGGACAGCTTAGTACAATGAACAGGCAGCAGGGTCAGCTTGGCGCCATGAACAGCCAGCTGGGACAATATAGTGCCATTAACAGACTGCAGGAACAATTTGGTGCCACAAATAGACAGCAGGGACAAGTGAACAGACCGAGATCTGATCCCATGGTACAGCAAGGGCAGCAGACAACTATGTCTATACCAGCAACAAGTCCCATGCAGCAACCCCTTATGCAGGATCCCAGAAGTACCAACGAAGGATTAAGAGCCCCGAACACCCAAAATGCAAATGTCCAAGGTAACATAGAACAGTTCAATGTTCAGAGACCACCACCTACTCCTCCTGTGTCTGCCAGTGATCATATTGTGAGGGTCAAGTCGGAGTTTGGTGCCAACGAGGGATTGAATACAAGTAATACCTCTACAGTTCCACCTCCAGCTCAAGCTTCAGCTTCAGCTCCTCCTCCTCCAGCTCCTGCTCCAGATCCAGCTCAGAAAGCTGGACAAAGTTCTGAAGCTGTCTCTCAGCCAGCTGGCTCAACTAACAACACAACACAAGCTGCAAGTTCACAATTAAGTAATGAAGAACCATTGCTAGGAGCACCTGAAGAAGTGGCTGTGAGGATCAAACAGGAACCTATTGCCTACTCCCCTAAGCCAGTAGCAGGTTTGGATGAAGATGGGGTTATTGATCTGGATTTGTTTGATGATGACCTGGATGACAATCATCCCGAGTCCTCTGCAGGAAGTGGTCAAGATGACCAGACAGCCTTGGCTAAGGACTATGGTGTACCTAACAAAACTGTCGCAAGGAAGGAAGATCAGTTCAACCTGGGATCCAAGAAAGTGGTAGATTATGCTGTCCAACAGTTCAAGAAGTATCATTTCAGTAAATCCGGTTTAGATTTTGATATGTTGACTATGGAAACTGTGAAACTCGACAGCCTCTTGTTGGACTTCTTCCAGGGTGTGAGGAAGGGAAATGGTGAGGAGTTAACGGCAAGGACTTTGAAAAATGTGCAAATACACCTTGACATGTATTTAAGGGATAACAGATACCCATACTCAATTGAAAAAGATGATGCCTTCAAAGCCTCAAGAGACTTTTTGAAGAACAAACTCGATCAAAGTAAGACTGGGAGACATATGCTGGTTCCAATTGATGACAATGAAATTGAAATATTGTTCCAGAGACAGGTTCTTGGCGATCAGAATCCTGACTCTCTCATGAGCACAATGTGGTTCCTCAACTCCAAGTACCTCGGTATCAGACGTCCAGCAGATCACTACAACCTGCGATGGGGCGACATTCGGTTATGTACAGACGAAATGGGTATTGAATACCTCGAGCGTGTAATAAAGGGTTCATACTCTCTCAAAGTGTTCGCAAAGGCACAAACCCCATCTCGATGCTTTGTGAATTTGTATAAAAAATACTGGACCTTACGGCCTCAAGATGCTTTACTGGAATCTTCTCCATTTTACCTGAACTTCAATGCAGGACCAAATTATCCACGTCCTGAACTTTGGTTCTTTAATGACTCCTTGTCTTGGTCGCGTTTTTCAAGTGAATGGAAGAAAATTCTCACAGCTGGTGGTCTGCCTCCGAATAAGAAACCTTGCTGACCTTTAACTTGAGTGGGTTGGATGGATGTGCAGTGGTCATGTTAGGCTGGGCCATTAATCTGTACTTACTTTAAAACTGTGGCCTAGGTGTCTAAGATACAGTTCTGCCCCAGAGGCAAGCCAGGTGTGGTCATAGGTTTGAATTCCAGATCATTGTTGATTGTGTTTCAAACTACTACTCTCCAGGTTAGCTACCTCTGCTTATTCTTAATAACCAGTTTCAGATTTAACTTGCAATCAGCTTTTAGCCATGGAAATCTCACTATCCATCTTGAAGGAAATGTCCAGTCCTCATCTGTTGTTACCTGCTCTAATTTCTCTCCACTAGTAGTTTTTGGCATACGAAGTGGGCAGGGTTTCCGTGCACCAGAAGGGATGCATGTTGTACAGTTGAGATATTTTATACCTGTCAGTGACTTAAGGTAACTTTAATTACATTGTCATCGTAAAATTGTTACAGATGTTAGTTTGATTATGGATTTTCTGTGGTCATGTTGATCATTTTTATTTTATTTTTTTTATCAACTATGAGGGGTGAATAAATGTATTACTGTTGTAAATTTTCCGTAGCTAACCTGGCTAGGGACATTTCTGAATCTTTAGCCTTAACAAAACTTTGGTTGCCACGGGCTAGCAGACAAGCAGCTATTTTGCAAACTGCCTGTGCTTATGGGTTTCCAAAGTTGTTAACGACTTCGACCAATCATATGATACTGACAGTCACAGTCAAAAGAATGGTTCGGGAATTTGGATGTCAGGCAAAACACTTTATTCCATTTCAGACATGCCCCAATGCAACCGAAAAGTAAATTTTTGAAAATATTGATATAGTTAAAGGGATTTCAAAAACAAAAGCTAAAAAAATATTACCACATCTCCCTTTTTGATCGTATTGTAGAAGTATATTTTTAGATGTATTTCTTATACTGTATGTATTTCTGCTGTTTTCAGTACTCAGCAGTTTATGCTAAGCCTGTCTCAGGTGTGAGAGGTTTGGATCATTCATTCTGCCAATGCTTGTTTAGTGAGTGATTGAGTGAGCCTAGCTTGATAGAGGGAATCCTTCAGTGATATCACAGCATATTGATGATATCAGCTTGACATTGAGCTGATGCAGGTTCCAAACAAATCCTACTTTTGGTGAAACCTGTCAGCACTGGTGCCAACAAACGAAGAAACAAAAGCAGGATGATTCTGGGATTTGAACCCACAATCCATTAGCACAGCGGGTTGCAGAGCTTGAGATAGCCTGGCCTCCAATACCCATCCTGACAGTCAAATTGTCATCGTGAATAGATCTGTGGTGGTGCCAAAGACTCTCATCATTACAATATTCTTAATATGTGCAAAAAGTCATCAACGAAACTCGCAAAACTGAATTTGGAAGAATATTATTAATTTGTATTATTTATAATATTTGTCTACAAGCATATTTATTGAGGGGGTATTATTGTGGTTCATTGAAATACAAGTACTTTTGTGTGTTGGGGTGGGGATTTTAATTTTTCAAATATTTAGCTCACCCTGAAAGATAAGTTAGTTTTACATTATTAGTGGATGTGCAATAACATTTGAAGAGAGTGCTCAACATTCATTGTCTTAGAATGACAGTGGTGTGGGGAAAAAAACAAGTTCTTATAAGAGTTTTTAAACAAAAATAACTTGTGTCAATGTTTTGTGTATGTGACCATATATAAATATACCTTCTTTCATTTAAACTGGACAAAAATGGAAAATGGAACATAATGAAAATTGAAAATATCCAACAGACTGAAGTTTCTTTGTTGATAATAGAAGGGATGGGCTTTGTGTTGCGTTGTCATGGTTACTGTGTTCTTTTCTTGTCTATGTTTTTTGTGTAAATGATCAAATGAGCAGACTGTAAAGTGATCATTGTTAAAATATTTTATTCATAAGATCGACTTTAATGATTTTCAGTTATGGAGGTATGTATGGAAAGACAATGTGCATACTTTGTGTATAATATGTAGTATGCACATTGTTTTTTATGTTAATATCTTCGTAAATGCAGAAGTATTTTGAGGGGCGATTTCATATACTAGTTCGGGTTCGATTCTCCACATGGGTACAATGTGTGAAGCCCATTTCTGGTGTCGCCTGCCTTGATGTTGATGGAATATTGCTAAAAGCAGGGTAAAGCTAAACTCACTCACTCAGAAGTATTTTGAAGTCAGCGTGGTCAGTTCTTAGATAAGCCTTAGGATTTAGAAAATTAAATCAGTATTGTTAACCTCAAAAGGGAAGAAGCAAACTTCCATAATTGCAGCTACTTATTATCTACCTCTTGGTGAAATGGCAGTGGTTTTCTTCTTGTCACACATTATTTCCACAGAGCACATTTGTGAGGTAGTTACACTTAAAACATACATTATGTCTTAGGATTAATGTTTTTGCGGAGTTGTCATTTAGAAACCATGTAAGACCTTTTATGTTTTGAAAGTGGTGTGAGGTGGCCGAGCGGTTAAAGTCTTTGCTTGTCACGCTACAGTCAGAATTTGATTCAATAAGGGTACAGTGTTTAAAGCCAACTTTTTTGCTTGGATGATTTTTGAGGAAATTGTTTTGTGTGATGTTGAAATTATTGTTATAGATGTGGAAATGTACTTTTATCACTGATCACTGTGTCAGGTGGTTGATTCAGTCGTAATGTTAGTTCACCAGTGCAAATTTCACTGTGTACAGATTTACACAGGAATACACTGAAAGTTATATTGCCATAATAATAATAATAATAATTCATTTATATAGCGCCTTGTATCCATCTGACTAGTTGCTCACTGGACGCTGTAATCAGAATCTGATTTATTATTACCCCGGATAACCCATTCTGCCTGTTAGGCTCTAGAAGGTTATAGTTACATGACTTATCCTACCGGGTACCCATTTTCTGCTGGGTGAACAGAGGCAAATTTCAACAAACTCACTTGCCTAAGGTGAGAACACGTTGTGGGGCAGGAAACTCCAAGAAACTCTCAGGAGTCAGGCTGCCAAACACGGTCACCCATCCAATGACTCTCCGAGCTCGACGTTGCTTAACTTCAACTGATTCGTGGCCTGAGGTCTTCGCACAGGACCACACACCACCATGTGGAAAATACAGTACAACCAGAAATTATTGAGAATTTAAAGATTGTAAATATTATATATATTTTTCACTCATTACTCATGTATTAAATGTGAATATTAGCAGAACATAACTCCAGATTCTAAGACAGGTGAATAGTTAGTATTTTGTCAAGTCACCATGGGCAGCAATGCAGGCTTCAATGCGGCGGGGCATACTACTGATCAAAGAAGTTAGAAAGTCGTGGTCCATGCTGTCCCAATATCGGACCACCTCTTCTTTCATTTCACCAATATTTGTCAGATTTTTCTTATTGACACTTTTTTTCATAAGTCCCCAAACATTTTCTATTACATTAAGGTCAGGGCTATAGCTTGGCCAATCTAATAATGTCATATTTTGGGTCTGAAACCAGGCCTGTGAATGCTTTGAACGATGTTTTGGGTCGTCCTGCTGGAAAATCCAAAAATGTCCATAGAACACGTGAGCAGATGGAAGTAAATGTCCCTCGAGAATAATTGTGTACCACTCACTGTTCATATTCCCTTCAAATACACAGAGGGATTTCGGACTGTACTTTGGGCGCTGATACAAAGGTTTTCAGTTTGTTTGGTCCAGAATTTCAGTGTATTAGGAAACAGCCACACAGAACTTTCATCTGAGAAAATCACATTGTCCCAGTTAAAATTTCTATGCTGTAAGCACCAGTTCAACCTTCGCTCCTTTTGTTCAGGTTTGATCGTTGATGCAATTCCTCGACTTTTCTGCCAACCCATTGCATGCCTACCTGCACCTCCTCGGTGCTCAATCCCATATCCATTTGCAATATTTTTCAAAACATGATAAACAGTGGACAAAGGGATGCCTGTTCTACTTGAAATCACTTTAGCTGATCTGATGTCCTTGTTATAATACTCTAACATCAACTTCCTCTTCTCTAAATCATCCATACTTAGGATCACTGAAAATGTCGTCTGCTAGCAAGTAAACAAAGGGGGATAACTCTTCACAAACTAATGAAACAGGATTAACGGAGTTGTCTCTCTGAATGAAACCAAGCACTTGATAGCTGGTCAAGGTTGTTTATACTAGAAATCCAATTAAACATATTCCTAAAATTCTCAATAATTTCTGGTCACTCTATAACTACTAAGATTGCAGATTCAGGGCAACAACCTTGACATCAGACTGTCAGTAATTTGAGATGAGAGCATGTGGTTGTTCTATTTAACCAACCCATCATGGCCTAATTTGTTGAAAGAATTAGCTTGCGTCAGGAACATTCTGACAGTAAAAGCAGATGTATCCTAGTTTCATCAACTTATCAAAGTTGAAACGTAGATACATAAACTAAGGAAGTAAAATCACAGATCTCGATGACTGTCGTTATTTTACATAATAATGACAATAACCTAAGACATAATAGACATGGGACGGTGGGGTAGCCTAGTGGTTAAAGCGTTCGCTCATCACATGGGAGACACGGGTTTGATTCCAAACTTGGGTACAATGTGTGAAGCCCATTTTGGGGGTCCCCTGCCGAGATGTTGCTGGAATATTGCTATAAGCGACGTAAAACCAAGCTCACTCGTAGTCACCCATAAGAAGGTACCCACAGTTTAATGATGTCAAGCCCAAGAAAGGGATGAGTCATGTGGTTTGGTGATTAAAGGCTAGAGTATTGAATTTGTTCAAAGATCAATGTGATAGGAAAAACAGGAATAGACCTGAAATATAGACAGCATGTAAAACATAAATATTAGGTTGCACTTCTGAATAATTAATAGTGCTAGTGCATAATTAATGTAGCTAAATTGAGCCCTGTGAACTCGGGCAGTTTAAACATTTCTTTTACCTAAGTTGATTTGTGTTTGCATAGATATGTTAGGCTAGGCATGTTGACGTTTATATGTCCGAATAGGTCAACTGTAGCCGATGCTTGTCATAAGTTAACTCTGATGTGGAGAGCTGTAACAGTGTGTGACTAATTGTGTGTTATTGTTCTGTGTTTGTTCAGCTAACATTTACTGATTCATTGGGCTGGCAGCTATTAGAAATACCGGTACATCAAATATTTTGGTCCAATCTCCGTGATGAGTTAACTGTGACTCATCAACTGGTTAACTTTTGTGAAGCTTGGGAAATTTTAGACTAGGACCTTCCCAGTTTCTTGCAATAACATGCATGCTTAAACCAGGGCTCCAGATAAGATGCGTATCTGTGTAAATTACACATGGATAATTCATATATAATATATACGCATAAATAGTCAAACCAGTGCGTGAAAGATACTCATAACTTTCTCAGAATACCAGTCACATTTTGTTTACATGCATGAACCAAACCTGTCAAAATATTGCTTCAGTCCAACACACCTGATCTTAAGATCTCGAATAGTGTTGGTTGTCTGTATTGAAGCGAATATTGTCGGGGGTTTCCGAATGATCTCCATTAATTTTTCTAATCCACGTTTGGGGCACGATTTGTTTAAAATCTAGCCCTTAAGCAGTGTTACTATGACATTTTCAGTCCGCATCAGCAATAGTGCAGCAACCTGCGAAATACTCCTCCTTTTCTTTCCATTGTGTATTTTACTCCTCAATTTTAATTTTGAGCAGTGAAATACCCCTGAGTCAAAATAATTATCTGGAGCCATGTAAAACATCATTTGGTTTAAGGCTTATTCATAAATTAAGATAGCGATTTGGTCAAGATTTCTGTTTTAAGATATTTATGTCATTTACTGCCAGCCAGGGTACAAGGCCTGTTTTACTGTAACTTTAACTGGGAAACGGAAATGCTGTAAATATTCAGATTATTAGATTATGACAAGATATACCTGGAATATTGCTGAATGATGTATGATAATCAATCTGTCAAATTGCCAAGTCCTGAAAAAATGTACCTGTATCTATTTTGTCTGTTTTTCTATCATGAGAGTGCACTACACGTTTTGTGTAGTTTTACATTAGATTACATAAATGTAATATATTTTGATTCAAAATAATTTAATAAAATCAAATGTTCTAAGATAGTGTGTAGTTATTTATGATGTGGACTCGGAGATCCTGTCAACAACGACCTAATCCAAAACACGAGGTAGGACATTTCTTTACAAGATCCATTCCTGAGCCTGGCGCCATTGTTTTATTCCACCCTACACATCCAGTTTATTGCTGAAGATTGGTACCGGACTCAGAGTACATTATAGAGACCCTCATCCAAAGGCAAGAGTGTCTAGTCGTTGATATTTGTTTGTTGTTTAACACTTCACATCAATATTCCAAATAAATGACTGTAAATAATCGAGTCTGGACCAGACAATCCAGTGATTGACATCATAAGCATCAATCTCCTGGGATCCGATAACATGTCAACCAAGTCAGCAAATGTGTTACAGTCGAACCCAAATGTCTCGAACTCGGTTGAGACGAATTCTT